TTACATATTCATAATTTACAAGCATATCATAACAAATGTATAGCAAAATAAACATATGGACTATTGCACCAAAAAGAAAGAGAGAGTAGAGAGAAAAGGAGAGAAAGAGATTAAAAAAAGAGATATATACTTGGACAGAAAGAAAAGTTAAGGCAAAAAGGGAGAAAAAATAGATAAAAGAAGAGAAAGAGAGTGATTACTATATAGACAGCTAGAGATAAAAAGAAAAAGTGAGAAAGCAAAAGAAAGAGAGAGAAGACAGAGAAAGAGAGTAATTGGTAGAAATATAGAGGGAGAGTGAAACAAAAAAGGAATATCCATACATTATATCAAAATGTAGAACAAAGTCATTCTCCAGTTGTAGTCCAAGAGAGGATAGTAAACAGTAAACAAATATACTCATTATGGCCCGAATTCACAAAGGAGGTTTGTCGACAACCCTTTTGTTTCGACAAACCTTCTTTTGTTATTTACAAACCAGGTTTGTAAAAAACGCGTCATATGACGTACATAAACCTTGGTTTGTCGACAAACCTCCTTTGTGTATTCGGGCCTATGAGTTTGAACCCAACCCAGAAGAAGTTCAGTTTCATAAAGTATGAAGAAAAATTTAAAAAAAGAAAGGAACTTCCCAGTGACAGAGGCAGGCTACTCTTAGTCATTTGGGAGCAATGGCGATATCACAAGAACCCTCATGAGGATCACCATAGACAGTGCTGGTCAAAAGTATTGGTAAAACCTAGATTTTCAGATGAGTGTTCAGTTCAATGTGTTCATTCTACATAATGAGCTTGTATGGGCACTGAAAATATGATACAGGTTTGGCTTCACATTATAAAATGCAAAATTGTATGTTTTGATACGGGCCAAATGCTATTTACTTTAACTGGTTAGTTTGATACCCACAACTGATGGAATATGGTATAACAATATCTACAACTTGAATACACTTTTATCAAGAGAAAACACAAATCATTTTTATGCTGAATAGTTCAATTTGATCTGTTAAGTTATCCCAACGACAGCAAAATACACTCATAAATAGCAAAACCATTCTATCAACATTATCTTCATTTTGTATCTAAACCCATAACAATGTTTTGTAAATGTTACACAAGGTCAGTATGTGTGACATAGGTACCAACACTTTTGACAAGCACTATATATGGCTGGTCTTTGACCAGATATTACAAAGAGGGAAATAGAGAACAAACAAAAATTATTTGATGTAAAATCTTTTCTCTGATTATTGTGAGATATAAACCTCATCATTCTTTGAAATATATAATACAAATGCGCTTTCTTCATTTTTAACCTACAACAACAGTGTACCATGCAATTGTTTATACTCTAAAGATATATGTGTCTTAATTGAGCATGAAACAATTTGTATTTAAAAAAAAGATTTAATATCATGATTGAAATTTATTGGCAACATTTTCTGTTAATAACAATAATAATTATAACAATAATTATAATAACAACAATAACAATTACACTACTACTACTAACAATAATACATGTACATGTAATTGGAATTTAATTATATAGGGCATTTCCACAAGATATAAGGCACTACAAAGTACCAAATATACTTTACCAATTTGAGTAAACATATTTACATTTATTTGGGTGATGCTCTATTATCTGCTGATTATTAGGTGATTTGGTAGGCAACAAGATCAGCATGTTTTTTAGCTTCTGCTTATGAAATCCAATCCATCTCAACACAAATGATGGATCAAAATTAGACTTTTGATGGCTATTCAATTATATGCTCATCAAAAACAATATCTTGAGAGAGTACAAATAATCATTTCCTACACAGCTACATGTTATATTCTGAAGACCATAGAAAATGTACCTGTATCCTATGCAGGGGCGTCGCCAAAGGGGGGGGGTGGGGGGTGCGACACCCCCCCACCTGTCAGGATATTGTCGGTAAAATTGCGCTGCCGTCGGGAAAAAGAGAAAAGGGGGAGGGAAAAAAGAGAGGGAAAAAAAGTGGGGGGAAAAAAGAGAGGGAAAAAAAAGAGAGGGAAAAAAAGATAGGGAAAAAAAGAGAGGGAAAAAAGAGAGGGAAAGGGAAAGAAAAGAAAAAAAGAAAAGGAAAAGAAAAGAAAGAAAGGAAAAAAAAGGAAAAAAAGGAAAAGAAAGGAAGGAAAGAGAAGAAAGAAAAAGAAAAAGAAAAAGAGGGAGGAGAGGAAAGAAAGGAAAAGAAAGGAAAAAAGAAGAAAAAAGAGTGAAAGGGAAACAAAAGAAACGGGGATGAAAGAGAGGAGAGAGGGGGAAGGTAAGAGTCTGAGAGAGGAGGAGTGGGAGTAAAGGAGAGAAGGGGGTTGTTGGGTGGAGTCGTCTCGTCGAGGGAGCAAGAAAGACACTGGTAAATATGTTGCTGTGTCGGGTCAGCTGTGTCGGTATTCTTGCTCGATCCTCGTGTACTATATCAATGCAGAAGTTTGAAGTCGGTGAGATGTATAATGTCGGTCGGCCGACAAGTTTTTTTCCCTACGAACTGTGACTTCTTATCCGCTGTGACGACTTCGAGAGTGACTACAACTACATTACTTGTATTTTCTCGAAGTTTCACTTTCCTATAATATCAGCTAAAGAAATCAGAGGTTTAACATTTTCGGGGAAACTAAATTCAAACAAGGTTTAAGAGTCAACAACGGTACGACGAATCGTCTTCCTTTCTTTATATTGTGATGGAACGCCAAAAATTCCGCGCTTCGCGAGGAAGGGGAAACTTCATTTAGACGAGTAGAGAACGGTACAGCGAATCGTCTTCTTTTCTCTAATAATTTAAGGAAACGTCAAAGCTTCCGCGCTTCGCGCTTGAGGGGGAAACTTGATTCAGACAAAATTAATAGGGCTTATTTAGAGTCGAAAACGGTACAACGAATCGTGTTCTTTCTCTAATAATTTGAGGAAACGTCAAAGCTTTCGCGCTTCGCGCGAGAGGGGGAAACTAAATTCAGATAAATAGGGCTTAATAAGATTCGAAAACGGTACGAGGAATCTTCTTCCTTTCTCTATATTGTGAATTTGTGATGAAACGCCAAAAATTCCGCGCTTTGCGCGGAAGGGGAAAACTTCATTTAGACGAGTCGAGAACGGTACGACGAATCGTCTTCTTTCTCTAATAATTTAAGGAAACGTCAAAGCTTCCGCGCTTCGCGCGAGAGGGGGAAACTGAATTCAGACAAAATTAATAGGGCTTATTTAGAGTCGAAAACGGTACAACGAATCGTGTTCTTTCTCTAATAATTTAAGGAAACGTCAAAACTACCCCGTATCGTCTGCTTTTTCTTATAATTTAATGAAACTTCACAGCTCCCGCGCGAAGCGCGGGAGGGGGAGAAACTGAATTCAGACAAGGATTAAGAGTCGAGAACAGTACACCGAATCGTCTGCTTTTTCTCATAATTTAATGAAACGTCAAAGCTTCCGCGCTTTGCGGAGGAGGGGGGGGGGAACTTCATTCAGCCAAGGATTACCAGTAGAAAACGGTACAATTAATCGTCTTCTTTTCCGTCTAAGCTTCCGCGCTTCGCGCGGGAGGCCCATCACCCACACCCCCCTAATGAGCGCGCTTTTAAATGATTTTCTTGCTCACTACTGCCCCTCCCTAAAATAAGATCCTAGCTCCGCGCCTGCATTGAAATATATAGCTATGATGCTGACTAAATTGAAGAAATAATTGGTATATTTATGTCGTCGAGGAAAATGACCATTTTGCGCATATGCAAGTACTATAGATAGTCCATAGGAAAAACAATTTAGCCTTCGGCCCCAGGTTTATAGGTTTGAATTTGTAGATATTGGAAATTTAATTTTGTCGGTAATTGGTGGCTAGTTTTGTCGGTAATCGTTGGCCTCTACACCCCCCCCCCCCCCACTGAAAAAGGTCTAGCGACGCCCCTGATCCTATGCCATTGGAACATTATGTGATAAGAAATTCTAAAATTCTAATTTGTAATTTCAAAATATTGTTAAAAAAGTGCAAACGTGTATCCAAACTATACAATTATACCTTAAGAATTCATTGAGTAACAACAATCCAGCCATTACTAGTTTTCCTAAGTACCACTTACAAATATTGTGTTGTGACAAATATATCCAACTAGTCAAACAGCTAAAGACACCCTGGGTTACCGATGAATTTGTTAGTTTGTCTCATGAGAGAGATAAGCTTAGCAAAAAGGCTGATAAATCAAACCATCCACAAGCTTGGAGACATTTTAAAACCTGCCAAAATCATGAAAACAGCATGAAAACTACCTAAAAGAAGGCATATTGTCATCGGCAAATCTTATCTAAGAAGAGTAAACCTTCTGAATTGTGGAAAGTTCTCAAGATTCTTACCCCTAACTCAACACATGGTGAATTAACCCACTAGCTTAAACCTACGTACCCTACATGCTTGTTCTGAGACTGAGCCGCTCATATTTGCCAATGCTTTCAATCAGTTCTTTGCATAAATTAAGAGTTAGACTGCTTCCAAATATCCTCTACAGAATATCCACCTTTCTTTTGAAAATCAAGCTGACATTGCTCAAAATGGCTTTTCTTTGGTTGATGTGACATAATATTTTGTGCTTAAAGAATGACAATCTGTAAAAACTTATGAGGCAACAGGCTTTATTAGAGAAAACCTCACCCCAAGAAATAACTTTGACTTAGAGATTTATTAGATTTTCTTGATAACGTGACGTACTATGTGAAGTCGTTTATCAAGTAAATGTATTCAAATTTATGGATGCTTCTTTCCCAGACGTGTGTCCTTTGTACTACAATTGTACTACAATTGCCAGAATGCAAATTGCATAAATAAGTTGGTGCTCTTCTGGGGTCAAGGTTTTTCATGTCATGCTAAAAGCCTAAAAGGCATCACATCATGCCAAGAATATCTTCATTTATATATCTCTTGTAAATTTTCATAACGAACAATTTACATCAAATGGCAGGAATACATCTCATTTTTCAAAATACCTTCACTTATTCTTTGGGGTGAGGTTTCCTTTAATTATAGGTTATTAAAATTGGCTGCACCTATCAACAAAAAAACAATCACCAAACTTTTTAATCTATCTCTCTAATTAGGAGTAATTCCTGAAGAATGGAAGCAGGCCAGGATTACCCCCATTCACAAATGTGGGAACACAGACAATGGAATACAATTATACAGTATACAGATGTGAATATCATCTGATAACGATTCTACCAACAATCATGAAGGTGTTTAGAAAAGACTGTGCACACCTAGTTTACATGACTATTTGTTGGATTCGGACTTGCTTACTCTTACCAATTCATGTTTCCGGAAGGGTTATTCCACTAATACTGCATTGGCATATGTTAGTGACTTCTTATACAGTAATATGGATAGTGGTAAAATAACGGATTTGATTTGATTCCGTGAACTACCGGAAGTTACTATACACATACGGTACTAAAAAGATTTTAGAGATAAAATCATGCTCAGAATATCACCCAAGAAGTTTTCAAATACTGGTCAACTGCGATAACTTGGAACAAGGGAAGCACACATCTGTGATTGCAGATAAGTTTGGCCTGTAAAGCTGAGCACTAAGTTTAACACCACTTGATAAGACGAAGAGTGACGGCTTGAAGACAGAACTACCAGATGACAGGCCTTATGCTGTTTGGTAAGAACGGCTCTGTGTACTCTGTACTCTGTGTACAAAATGGACATTTTGCAGGATCTGTAAAGAAACCATAATGAAACTCACATTGTCATAAACAAATTGTGTTATTTCAATAAAATCCAAACTAGTACGGATGACTTGCCTTATGAAATTGGTATGTATAAAGACTACAAGTTCACATTATTGATATCATTATCTTACACCTTTTTTGTATTCACTGCTGAAAAGAAGCGGACGCTACCTACTTGATCCGCACCTAAAAAGTTCACATTATTGATATCATTATCTTACACCTTTTTTGTATTCACTGCTGAAAAGAAGCGGACGCTACCTACTTGATCCGCACCTAAAAACATGCAACCTTTCAGAGTAGCTATAGAGTGTAGCACCTCCCATGCGCATTTGTTCCCATGGTTGTGCACATTGTTGTACATGAAATGCCTAATAATCCTATGCTGTCTGATTTTTTTTCCGCTACCTTGTCATGTAACATACAGCCAACCCATTCACAGAAACAGTGCTGGTTAACAGTTTGGGTACACCCTAGATTTTGAAATGTGTTTTAAATTCAGTGTTTGTGTCCCACATACAGGTGTACATAATTAGCTTGCTTGGGCTCTAAAAAAGATTGAAACCAGTTTCCCTTTACCGGTATGTTTCTACATTGCACTAAAACACGATTTAGGTATGTTGAATTAAAAAAGTCCCTTCCATAGACCCTCTCCCCCCCCCCCCCCCCAGCCTCAAACAAAAGTATTTCCTGGGAGGATGATTGTCTGAGGTGAATGTCCGGGGGGGGGGGGGGGGGGGGGGGGGGGGATTTGTCCTGGGGGTAATTGTCCCAATTGGTAAGTGTTAAAAGGGTAATTGTCCTGAGGGGAGTAGTACCGGGGGGGGGGGGGGGGCGGTTGAACTTCTTTCATGAATATTATACTGTTCTTAAAGCTAATCTTGAGCTCTGGTATGGGAATTGTATTTTGAGAGAAAATTGTCAAGATCTAGTCTGGATTGTTTATCCTGCAGTAGATGTAGATGGTGTTTCCTACAAATTTTGGGCAGAGTCAGGCGATGTTTTTTTTCAAGAAGAGAATGTGCGATCACTGCCACTGAGGTGATTGGGAGCTTCCCCCAGGCGGTACGTACCCTATTTGAACAACTTTAGATGACCTTTGCCAAAGGATGATCCCTACCAATTTTGGTTTAAATCTGACCTTGCATTTTTAGAAGAACTAAAATATGTAAATCAGATGGCATTTAAAAAGGAAAAACATTAATGGGCAGTGCCCTTACCAAGCCCCCTCCCCTGGAGGAGTCAGTAGCCCTTCATAAAAATGTTATATCTCCCTACCTGAGGAATGCTTCCAATCAAGTTAAGTCAAAATTGCCTAATTATGGCCATAGGGGTATTTTGGGAGACGCTGCACCCCCCCCCCCCCCCCCAACCCTAGATTTTGAAATGTGTTTTAAATTCAGTGTTTGTGTCCCACATACAGGTGTACATAATTAGCTTGCTTGGGCTCTAAAAAAGATTGAAACCAGTTTCCATTTTTACCGGTATGTTTCTACATTGCACTAAAACACGATTTAGGTATGTTGAATTAAAAAAGTCCCTTCCATAGACCCTCTCCCCCCCCCCCCCCCCCCAGCCTCAAACAAAAGTATTTCCTGGGAGGATGATTGTCTGAGGTGAATGTCCGGGGGGGGGGGGTGGGGGGTGGGGGGTATTTGTCCTGGGGGTAATTGTCCCAATTTGAACAACTCAAGATCTCCCTTTCTAGCACGTGATGCCTAAAATTTTGATAAGAAACCAGCCATGGATTTTTAAAGATGAAGAAGAAAATGTAAAAAGTTTACATCACACAATTTGCGATTAAATAGCTCACTTGGGCAATTGAGCTTGGAAACTTGATGGGCCTAGGTTAAAGCTAGTAACAAGAAAATTTTTAATTTACAACAAAAATAAATGGTACAGTTGCAAAAGTAGGGAAAAATACACATTTAAGATATTTCAGCAACAACAAATTTAACACACATCTATGGAAGTGATTTAAATCACTGATTTTGACAAAATAAATGAATCAAGGTGATCTAAATCATCCCTACCCTTAATGAAACTAGGCTTTAAAATGACAAACAAAACCTTCTAACCAACAGCACCTTGGCAAAATTGCCAAATTTGCTTGGGCAAATGATGCTTTATGTATTAGTATCCAAAATACCTCACAGTAATATTAATTTTTTACATGTATTTCGGCATTGTGACAAACTAATGCCTCAGTCACACCTCTGCGTATGTTGCTGCGTATTGCTGCGCTCTGCGGCGTATATCAATACGCAGCCGTGCCCAGCAATACGCAGCAAATTTGAAGGTAGCAGTCACACTATTGCGTATCTAGCTCGTAGGTAGCTCATATGCCGCTCGTACAAAGACTGCCTACGGTTGCCTATGGCCACGCTATAGCTCATAGCAGTACGATTCAATACGCAGTTTGCTCGCCATGTTGCGTATGTAGCTCGTTTGCTGCTTTTTTGCTGCTCGTTAGCCGCTTGCACCAGTTGGTCTTGTTGCGTGTCCGCTTGCTTTAGCTCGTCTGTTGTTTGTACTGATGCGTGTCGGCTCGTGCTAGAGCGTACCAGCTCGTTTGGGCTGCGGCATATATAAAAATACTAGTCCTTTTGAGGGACTGGGCATAAACATCTATCTTCTGACGATTCTACATCTACAAGAAAAATAAATCTGATGACAATAATGGCCCTGCAGCAGAGCTCTGCTTTGGTTCAGCTGGAAGAAGAGAGGCGAATGAAGATTATGAGCAAGGGAAGCTGCTGAATGAGCTGCATCAACAAAGTATCCCTCGGAGTTGTTGGGTGCGGTCCTGGATCTACTGGAGGAAGGACCAGGGACAATTCGACCAACTGATGAGGGAACTGGAAGACGAGGACCAAGAGGCATTCACGAACGTGTTGAGGCTAACCCCTGAAATGTTTAAAGAGTTAGAGCAGAGACTACATGAAAGACTGGAGAAGTGGGACACCTTCTTCAGGAAAGCCCTCTTACCCGCACTGAAGCTGGCCAGGGTGACAGCTACAAGACACTAATGTATAGCTTTAGGGTAGCCCATAATACCATTTCACTTATGGTACGTGAGATATGCACTGCCAGTCTGCCATCATTGAGGAATACGGTGATAAGCTGGTGATGTGACCTACCAGCCCACAGGAATGAAAAGCAGTCACACAGGGCTTCGAAGGCTGCTGGAATTCTCCCCAAACCTTGGTGCTTTGGACGGCAAGCATGTTGCAATCAAGTGCCCTGAGGATAGTGGGTCAATATTTTACAACTACCAGTGTTTCTACTCTATTGTACTCATGGCCCTGGTCGACGCCAAGTACAGATTTGTGTGGATAGATGTCGGAAACGAAACCTCTGATGCACAGCTCTTCAACTCGTGTGAACTAAAACAACGTCTTAAATCTGAAACCCTTGGAGTGCCTCTGCCAGAGCCTCTGTCCAACGATGATGAAGACATCCCCTACTTCTTTGTGGCAGACGAGACCTTCGCCATGACAACATGGCCAATGAAGCCGTACGCAAGGAGGGCTATGGCTAAACAAGAGAGAATTTACAACTACCGGCTGTCCCAGGCAAGGAGATTGGTGGAGAATGCTTTCGGCATTCCTACCAACCGATTTCAGTGCCTGCTGAGTACTGACCACTCTCCGACAAACCCCTTCAACCGTCAGGACCATGGTATAGGCAAGCTCCTTCTCTTGGTCACTTGAGAACCCGGCCCCCCCACTCAGGTTTCAAAATGACCGCATGCGTGTTGCCAAAATGTCCTTTTCGTAACAAAAGAAAAAGGTCGAGCCGTATTGACTTTACACACCGGACTTTTGCTGAAAAGGGGGGGATGCTGAAAAAGGCTCGTATACAAAAGAAAAAGGTCGAGCCGTATTGACTTTACACACCGGACTTTTGCTGAAAAGGGGGGGTCGGTTGGAACACGCATATGCGTACCCTAAATAACACTGAGTGGGGGGGGGGGCCGGGCTTGAGAAGTTGACTAGGTCTTTCCGCGGCTTCTTCGCCATGTTCGTCTCGTGTTCACCCAGCGATGGTGACTCCGGAGCCGGCGGGGCAATGGGACCTAGGCAGCTTGACTGGCTTCGTCCTCGTCGTCACCCCCCCCCCCCCCTTTTCGCTTTGGCTTTCGGCATCTTTTCAGTGTTCAGTAGTTGTATATTTTTCAACTGTTGACTGCAGTATGATTCCACCCCGCCTTATATTGCCGATACGCAGCGCATAGGCAACTAATCGCAGTGATAGCGAGCTAAAGCGTGCGGCAACCAGCAACTGCGAGCTAAAGCAAACGCTGTACGAGGTAGACTCGCAGCGTAGCGAGTGGCAATCGCAAGGTTTTTTTGCTGCTGTGAGCGATGTGCGAGCAACAGCGCAACAATACGCGCAATCATGCATATAGACACGAGTTAAAGCGAGGTAATTCGTGCAGGAAACGCAGCTACACATGCTCCGAAAAAAGAGGTGCGTATGATTGCGTTTACCTGCGCTAAGCTACACGCTGTCGCTCGCATTCACTGGTTGCCACTCGTATCCGCTTGTATGCGATTTGACCTTGCGTTTGCTTGCGATAGTTTAGAAAATTTTAAAACTAGCGAGCGACCAACGCAGGCACATGCGCTAGTTTGCGTATTGAGTACGTAGTGAGCATGTTTTATTGCGCGTTATTGGGTATGACTGCCTTTGTCTGCATTCGGGTAATACCCAGCAATACGCAAGCCAAATACGCAAAGGTGTGACTGAGGCATTAGACATTGTAAGACATAAGTTGTGTCTTGTTTTTCTAGACATTATTCTACACCAGACTGTAGAGCAGGGTAGAGCAAGGAGAAAATATCTGCCTACCGGTAATTCCAATTGGACACATATTTTCTGGCTGATTTCAATACCCCAAAAGCGATGGACAGTTGTAACTCCTCCAAGTATTATAATTTCTATGAGATATTTTGGAAAGCTACATGTATGTACATTATTGTTTATGGAAGTAAAGGATGATTTACAGTTAATCTGGAACAATAAAAAAATGTGCTAAAGTATCATTCAAACATACCACTTTGTCTACAATCAAAATAAATTGGAAGACATATTTACTTAGGTTCAGTTGGAGAGAGAAAAAACATTATTTTCAAAAAGGCCCAAAGTTCTTACATGCTCCGAGTCATCCATCTTCTATCCACTCAGAACTGATCTCTTGAAAATGGGTACATGGCATGGTCGATTCCTTGAAGAAGATCTCTAACGTTGAGGCACTGTGATTTAAAATACAGACAAATTGCTCATTATAAGACAGTCAAAAATAATGTCATTATGCTGATACGGTACATGACCGACAATATGTTACCATATTATTTGTATGGCATGGCTGCAGATAGACCTCAAATCAGTTTATTTGTTCTAGGAAATTGCCTTTTGTCAAAATCCAAATACAGTACCTAAAATCATGTGTTGGCTGACATTAATATATCAAAATAAACAGACAAACAAAAACAAAACATACAAACACTTACAAGAGTACATCCCATCAAGTTTATATCTATTTGTAAATCCATTACTTGTAAATAATACCAGTAAAAAAGAATTTAAATGGACAATGGATACTCAATTCAATACAATTCAGTTCACCAACGTAAGTGTATAATAGAGAGGGGTAAAGGCTAGATGATAATATGAAGTTAATATCCCCTACATGTAGTCTTAATAAACAATAATACAATAATACAATAATACTCGGGGGGGGGGGGGGGGGGGGTTACAGCCCCCAGCTGCGTTTGCCAATGGCAGAGCGGTCTCTGTTATCACAGATGAAAGCGTGAAAAGATGTTGTATTTCAGTATCAATAACATGGATTAGGCCCGCCATGTGTATTGTATCGACAGAGAAAATACTAATCAACATTAAAAAAGACTCTCCGTTATGTAACCCTATTGTTGCCTTCCTTTATGAATAACTTGTATGGATGGCCTGGTGGTCTCCATCATTGGCGTAGATCCTTACTTGATACCTATTTTTGAGGGGGGATGAATGAATAGATCACCCCCCCCCCCCTCCCCCCCTGAACAATGGGTATTAAGTAATGATCTACGACACTGGTCTCCATTATCAGAAAGGGAAAGGGGCACATGTTGTTAAAAAGGAAATTATCATAGGTGAAAAGGGGCACTGATGAGAATAAAAAAGGGGCACTTATACTGAAGGATAAAGAGCAATATTTTAGAAAAGAAAAAGGGCATGTGTCAAAATAAGAGGGGAAGTTATTAGAGGTGAAAAAGGACACTCATTAGTGATGAAAAGAGCACTTATCAGGAGGGGAAGGGGCATTTGTAAAAGTAAAACCAGTATCTCTCAGATTTGAATAGGGGCAATTATAAGAGGTGAAGGGGGCACTTATCTGAAGTGAAAAGGAGTAACTTCTCGTACCTGAAAAGGGATACTTACTAGAGATTAAAAAGGGCACTTTAAATGCGAATGGGAAATGGACACTTATTGCAAAGGAAAATGGACACATGTCAAATTAAAAGGGGCACTTATCAGAGGTGAAAGGAACACTTTTTGGGTACTCTAAAAAGTGAGGGGAGGGGGCATGGGTATATTGTCTGCAAGATTCAGACTAATATTCGCAAAATATGAATTAAACGCTTCTGCTTTTACTAACATTGAGCAGAACATTCCGGTTTTTTTTGCACTATCCACCAAACAGAAGGAACAGCATGTGTAATTCAGTACAATATCATCATAATCTTGAATTAACCAAAACTATTTAAGATATGCTTTACTATACACATTCCATAGATCCTGGTGGGCATGGGCTGCAGCACCTTCTCTTTGGAATACTTTACCATTTAATTTGAGAATCATAACTTCCTTAGAGACCTTTAAATCAAAGCTGAAATCTTATCTTTTTTAACGATACCTGTATTTGGCACTATGACACTCATCCAAACTCTCTCATTCTTTATATTTTTTTTGTGGGCCTCGGAATAGAATTGTCTAGATAGACGGCACGATATAAATGCCTATTATTAATTTTAATGGAGATGATATCAGTCGATCTTTCTTCAATTTAAATTTACAAAATTTCCATCAAAGGTACGCATCAGAGTGAAAAATTGCAAAAGCTCCATACTGTGTCAAACTCAAGGCTCAAAATACACGGGGTAGCGGGCGCTTGGCCCCTGTGAGCTTCATAATCGCCTCCGTCAGATTGCTCACAGGGACGATTGCAAATCTGGTGATTCCAAAAGACCAGCAAATAATAAACCTCGACCAGTAAATCAACCGAAAGCTATATTTAGTAAAAGGAAACCAGTTGGCGAAGAGGCGACTGCACGGGCTTGGACCAGAAATTTCGTACAAAGGTAGGAGATCTGACCATTAGAGCATACAGTAACTTGTAAAGTTGTAAGAGGGAAATAATACCGAAAATGATGAAATAGCAAAGAATTTAGGAGTATCATGGGTACCACCAATTCAATGGAAATTTGTATTTAAAAAAAAAGCCCCCGTCAGTACTAAAAGAGCCCCTGTGAGAAGGCTCACGGGGGCTCTTTTTTTGGAAGAGCCCCCGTGGACAAAAAATTAATTTGAGCCCTGGTCAGACTGAAATCAGAGTTTTGTTTTCTCTTTATTTAATACAGAGCCTGTATTCAGCAATCCCCCTCCCCACTCCAACTGAAATTAAAGATTTGTTTTCTCTTTCTTTTATACAGAACATGTATTAGGCGAGCCCCAGCCCCCCCCCCCCCTCCCCTTCAACCTGTGGTTACGCCAGTCACATTTCCCTACTCTTACTCGACTATGATATGTCTGACTTAAATTATAGTTTTGTTTTCTCTTTATTTAATAAAGAGCCTATTTTAAGCGAGCCCTCCCCCTCCCAATTCCCCCCGTGGCTACGCCAATCAAATTTTCCTACTCTTTCTTGAATATTAGAGTTCCGACTAAATTGAAGGTTTGTTTTCTCTTTATTTAAAACAGAGCTTGTATTGGTGGGGGAACCCCTCCCCCATTCCTCATTTAATACAGAGCCTGAATTAGGTCTCACCTAATACAGGCTCAGTACTAAAAGAGCCCCCATGAGAAGGCTCACAGGGGCTCTTTTAGTACTGAGGGGGGCTCATATTTTGTACAAATTTCCATTGAATTGGTACCCATGATACTCAATTCTTTGCTATTTCATCATTATCATTTATTTAAGTCAGCATTTTCCCTCTTACAAACTTACAAGTTACATATCTGTTACTGACTTTCATCCCGTCATGACAATCCCTCCATTTCAGCACATTAGTTCTGCACATTATTTCCTCCTCATTATTCGGAGCAACCTTATTCACATTCTTTCTTCACTTTAACCCTATTTAGCCCGGGCTATTTTGAAACTGCATAGCGGGGGGGGGGGGGGGGGGCTTCTAAGGCCCCCCCCCCCTATGATCTCGGCCGTGAAACGAAAATTTGCATACATGTCAAGTGAAGTGTATAGAATACTATGGTACTTTCAATTTTTTTGAAAAATTCACTCATTTGCATATTTATGGTAATTTATGCAAATAAGGTCATCAAATTCACATTTTTGCCCATGAAACAGACATTATTCATATTTAAGCATTCTTTCTCACTACATATATTTGTTAGACCATTTGGAATGATAAAGAGTAGGGAAATGCGATTAGCGTAGCCACGGGGTGAAGGGGGGGGGGGGGGGGGGAGCTCGTCTATGAAGGTCATGTATAAAATAAAGAGAAAACAAAGTAATTTCAGTCTGACTTTTAATGGTCGAGAAAGAGTTGGGAAATGTGATTAGCGTAGCCATGGGGAATGGGTGGGGGGGGGGGGGGGAGCTCGCCTATGAAGGTAATGTATTAAATAAAGAGAAAACAAAGTAATTTCAGTCTGACTTTTTATGGTCGAGAAAGAGTTAAGAAATGTGATTGGCGTAGCCATGGGGAATGGGGAATGGGGGGGGGGGAGGGCTCGCTTAATTCAGGCTCTGTATTAAATGGGAATGGGGGGGGGGGAGGGCTCGCTTAATTCAGGCTCTGTATTAAATAAAGAAAATACAAATCTTTTTTTACTTGGAACTCTCATATTCGCGTAGGAGAGAGGAAAAGGGAGCGGAGGGCTCACTTAATACAGACTCTGCATTAAATAAAGAGAAAACAAAACTATAAGTTTAGTCGGACGTATCATATTTGAGAAAGAGTAGGGAAATGCGATTGGGGTAGCCACGGGGTGAAGGGGAGAGGGGGGGGGGGGGGAGCTCGCCTATGAAGGTCATGTATAAAATAAAGAGAAAACAAAGTAATTTCAGTCTGACTTTTTATGGTCGAGAAAGAGTGGGAAATGTGATTAGCGTAGCCATGGGGAATGGGGGGGGGGGGGGGGAGCTCGCCTATGAAGGTCATGTATTAAATGGGGAATGGGGGGGGGGGGGGGGAAGGGCTCGCTTAATTCAGGCTCTGTATTAAATGGGGAATGGGGGGGGGGAGGGCTCCCTTAATTCAGGCTCTGTATTAAATGGGGAATGGGGGGGGGGAGGGCTCGCTTAATTCAGGCTCTGTATTAAATGGGGAATGGGGGGGGGGGAGGGCTAGCTTAATTCAGGCTCTGTATTAAATTGGGAATGGGGGGGGGGAAGGGCCTGCTTAATTCAGGCTCTGTATTAAATGGGGAATAGGGGGGGGAGGGCTCGCTTAATTCAGGCTCTGTATTAAATGGGGAATGGGGGGGGGGGGAGGGCTCGCTTAATTCAGGCTCTGTATTACATGGGGAATGGGGGGGGGGGGGAGCTCGCCTATGAAGGTCATGTATTAAATGGGGAATGGGGGGGGGGAGGGCTCCCTTAATTCAGGCTCTGTATTAAATGGGGAATGGGGGGGGGAGGGCTCGCTTAATTCAGGCTCTGTATTAAATGGGGAATGGGGGGGGGGGGGGAGGGCTAGCTTAATTCAGGCTCTGTATTAAATAAAGAAAATACAAATCTTTTATTTTAGTTGGAACTCTCATATTCGAGTAGGAGAGAGGAAAAGGTGATTGGCGTAGCCAAGGGGTAAAGGGAGCGGAGGGCTCACTTACTACAGACTCTGCATTAAATAAAGAGAAAACAAAACTATAAGTTTAGTGGGACGTATCATATTTGAGAAAGAGTAGGAAAATGCGATTGGGGTAGCCACGGGGTGAAGGGGGAGGGGGGGGGGGGAGCTCGCCTATGAAGGTCATGTATAAAATAAAGAGAAAACAAAGTAATTTCAGTCTG